TTTATATTAATTTCAATACAAAAGTTAACAGTATTTCTTTCCATATTAGTGGGAAAAAGTTTCATTTGTCGGGTAGGGAATTCTATTCTTTCTTCTTAAAGATAAAATAAATAAATATTTAAGCAAACTTCATCAATACTTAAGCTGGTGGCGTCCTAGTGGTAAGGCTAATTAAAAATCTTTTAGAAATCCCATGTTCGAAACCTGGCGGTGGCAAATCTATGGAAATCTTTACTGGAACTTTAAACCTTCTGGTTAACGGTTTGTACCGGTTCGAACTATTCTACCGGTTTTAAACGGTTCACCACCTTTCCGGTTACAAGTGTCCACCCGGTCCGTTTGTCACCGGGTACCGGTTCAACCGGCCGGTCCGAAAACAATCCTTCTATCCACTCCAATTAACAAGTTTCGTTTGTACAAAATTGACCTATTGCTTTTCTCCGACGGTTGCTGTGTTTTTCCAAGCGAGGAAAGGACAAAGGACGCGGACTAAGAAATGTGGCTGAAAAGTGGCCATCTGGTTGAAAAAGGAGAACGGGAGAGCTGTTTTTCCACGCGGACTAAGAAATGTGGCTGAAAAGTGGCCATCTGGTTGAAAAAGGAGAACGGGAGAGCTGTTTTTCCACGCGGACTAAGAAGTGTGGCTGAAAAGTGGCCATCTGGTTGGAAAAGGAGTACGGGAGGGCTGTTTTTCCAAGCGAGCTGTTCTTCCAAGCGAGGAAAGGACGCGGACTAAGAAATGTGGCTGAGAAGTGGCAACTGGTTGGAAAAGGAGAACGATAGAGACAGGGGCGGAGGCAGAAATTTTCCTCATGAGGGGCAAGATGCTAAAATTTTTAAAGCTTAGGAAGGTTAGATAATTTTTCATATACTAATTATATTCAAGATTTTCAAATTTTAAGGGGCGAGCGCCCCCTCGCACCCCACTGGCTCCACCACTGGATAGAGACCGACGAAGGAACGGTGTTGGAAGGGGGCATTTTCTTTATGCTGTTATTTTGGGATAAGAGCATAAAAGGTAAGAAAATTTTGAGATAAAAGTTAAGATAATGATATGATAAAAGTTAAGATAATGATATGATAAAAGTTATGATATGGAAGTTATGTTTTTTTAAGATATTAAGAAATTGATTCTGTTACTGGTTAGAGTAATAAATATATCACTTGATATATAATAATAGAGTGGTAATATAAAAATAATTTTTTTTTACAATTTTATATATTATTAAATTAATAAATATACTTAATATTATAAATTTTAAATAAAGATAAAAGTTATGATATGGAAGTTATGTTTTTTTAAGATATTAAAAAATTGATTCTGTTACTGGTTATAGTAATATATATATCACTTGATATATA